TACTACATATATTGACATTTCTAATATATTAACTATGTTAAACATATCTACTATATTAACTATATTAAATATATCTAATATGTTAGACATATTAACTATATTAAACATATTTAATTTGTTAGACATATTAACTATATCAAACATGTTAAACATGTTTGATATGTTTGACATTATTGATATTTTGTATTTCGCCACACATTTGTAGATCTATGATTGTCAAGATCATCACCTGGTCACAGTATTTTTTGATTTAATAATAATAAATAAATCTTTAAAAAAACTTAGTTTAAAAAGAAATAAAAAATTATATTAAATTACTAAGTAGTTTTATATTTATTATAAATCAAACCTTAAATAAATTTTCTTAAAATATTCAAAATCCTAATTAATAATTTGTTTCAATTTTTTAAATAAAATTACTTATTTTTAGCTAACTTATGTTATAATTATGATTTATTTATTGTTGAAAAAATATAATAAATAATCTATCAGTATTTATAATAAATCAGCTTAAAGTAAATTTACAATTGTTGAATTTCTTATAACAATACAATTCAAATCATAATATTATAAACCCAACATATTATCTTTAAAAATGAGTATCTTTTATATATAATAATTAATTTTAATTAATTTTTATTTAGAGTGATCTTATTACATAAATATAATAGACATTTTAAAGAGTAATATTTAAATTATTAAATCAAGGAAAATCTAATGATAATTATTTTATTTAAATATGATTAAAGAAAATAAAGAAAAATAGATTAAAAATGAATTAGTTATTAATATACATAAATAATATGTAAGGTAAACTTAAAACATATATTTATACAAAAGAAAGTTTTTATCAAATAAAAAGTATATGTAATTTTTGTTCCTCTTTTAGAATATAATTTTTTTTCATGATTTATTATTATTTTAATTTATGGTATTAAAAAACTAACCGTCATTATTTTCGCTTAGATCTGTAAATAAGTATATATTATTTTTATAAATTTTTAGTTTTTATTAATTTTAATTTTGAATTTTAAGTTTGTTATATAAAAATTGGTTTATAATAATATTCCAACCGTTTTTTTTTTCATGTTAGAAAATATTTAATAAGAACCAATACAAATGCTAACCGTTTAACGCATCTGCAATTAAAACTAAACTTATCCAAATCCCTTTATAAATGAACAGTATTTAGGAGGTTTATTCAGTTATTGTGAACCATGTACATAGTGATTCAGTAATGTTTTGAAAACTGGAAGCATATTAGAAAATTTTTTGATGGCCTCGCAGTAATTATCTCCTATATACTTTATCCTTTTTTTTTTACTGAGTAGCTTTTTTTTTCTCGGTTTTTTATTAGCAGCGTTATTGTGGCCGTAAGTGGTAAATTATTGATAATCAGATAAAATATTTTACGATTTATTCTTCGTTATTATAAACCTGTAACCATATGAAAAAGAAAAATTTTTTGTATAATAATAAAAAAAACCGATAAATTGAATAGAAATTACGATCGAATTTATTATTTACATTTTTAGAAATTTCCGCATTGTCATTTTTTTAAATGTTCCTTTAATTTCGTTATTATTATCGTGTCATATAAATTGTACATTTTCTAATAATGCTCCTCTCTAAATGCACCCTTATGTCCGTTTCCTAGGGTTGCTTTTGGTAGAGTATCTATAAAATCGGTCGTTCTGCGAACTCTAAAAAAAAAAAAAATTAATTCACTGATAAACGTGGCTCGGTCCAATAAATTATTAACGGCTTAGGCCGGTCGTTTTTATAAAACGAATTCACCTTTATTGTATTTATTGTTATCTTTTCGAGTCAAGTCCTTGATAATTAGTGAAATTCGAACGCTTGCTGCTGAAAATAAGCATTTATAGTTATAGTATATAACAATATACTGTTAGTTATAAGGTCGTTATTGATTTACATTTGCTTTAATGCTTCATACATATTCTAAAATTTTAGTTATACACTTTATTCCTAAAAAGGTTATTGACGGTTTCAGTTACAAATGGCTAAAAACGGTCGTAAGGAAGTGGACCAGCGTAGGGGTGAAGAAAAAAAAGAGTCACAAGTACGAGATGAACAACAAGAAGCTTTAAGGGAAAAGGCCATCAAAAATATGGCTAGGCGGCCAGACTATGGAAAATCCGGTCGTTCCACTCACGTGCTTACGAATTATTTCGAGATAAAAAAGGTGATGCTTTGCATTTTTATTATAAGATTTTTGTGAACTTTAATATTTAAAAATCAAATAATTTAATAGACGGCGAATAAGTCATATCTTGAAAAATACGAGATCACGATGAAGCTTGTGATCCAACAGAGACCTGAGGGAGAAGCTAACCAAAGAAGACGTGCCCCAAGGCAGCAAAAACAACTTCCTGTAAATGTGCAACGTGCGGTATTTCAACAATTAGAAAGACAGGAACGTAATGGCTGGTTCAAAGGAGTTGGTGTGGTTTTCGATGGTATGTATACCTCGCATTCATTAGAATGCAATCAACGGTTAATTTATAACATGCTTAAGGATGCTTATTTGGGAAATAGGTAACACGACTCTTTATTCCACCGATTTATTAAAGTTAAATAATTCCGATTCTGGGAATACATTGGTAAGGTTTTTTCATTTATTAATAATTTTTTAGATAATGATCTTTGTGTCTAACTTTCTGGTTGACCTTAATGCACTTTCAGGTTAGTTTAAGTGATGATCAGGACTCCAGGGGAAACCCAATGGAATATAAGGTTGAAGTTCAGAAACTTGACAAGGTTGACTTGGATGAATTGAAAAAATGCCTTGAGGGTACAGAAATGAAATGGGAATATTTCGACTTAGGTGATTTTATATTGTATTAGAAATTTTTTATTTTTTTTTAAAAAAAAAGATCTTCTATTAATTTTACTAACAAATATATAGCTGGCATAAGAGGATTAAATGCTCTCATTCATCATATTCCATCAATGAAATATACTCAATTTGGCGAATCTACTTATTTGCCTTCAACTCGTAAGCCGTTGGGAGGAGGTGTAGAACTATGGATGGGGTGGTTTGAAAGTGTAAGGCCTGGTCAAGGTAATACTTATCTTAAAATATTTAGTTTTGAAAATTTTGCATGCTTAATTAATTGACTTGACCTTTTACCCAGATAGTTATTTCGTTAACGTCAATACAACTTATACCGTATTTTATGAACCTGGTATACTTTCAAATTTGATTACAAAATATCTCAATCTCCAATCGGGTATCATTCCAGATCGTTTTAACCAACAAGAAAACGATAGAGTAACTGAGCTCATACGTGGTTTACAATTTAAATCTATTCATCGTCCTCAAATTGAAACCAGGTTTAAAATCAAAAGGCTTTGTCCAAAAAATGCCTATGATGTTATAATTGATATGCCAGAATCTAGCGAGAAAATTAATATTTATACGTATTTTCAACGTCGCTATAATATTACTTTACGTTATTTACACCTTGTTGAACTTGAAGGGCGTCGAAACGATAAAGTTCCAATAGAACTTTGCAATGTTATTGAGGTATTTTATACATTCTTACATATATTGTTAAAGGACATTCTAAATAATACTTTATATTTTAGGGACAACGATTTCCCGTTGCAAAATTAACAAGTGCCCAAAGAGGAACAATGATTAAACATACCGCTTTATCACCTCAAGAAAATGTAAAACGAATTAATGAAGGCATTCAAAATGTTTTACAGTTTGGAAAAGATTTTAAATTAAATAGCTTTGGGATGGTTGTTGAGGAACAAATGGCGGTTATTCCTGGTTAGTGATATTTACATTCGAATGTTTGTTAACATTAAAGTTATATTTATATTTTTTTTCCACTTTTGTAAAGCTCGCGTCTTAAGAGCACCGCAAATTTCATATCACTCCTCTTCCAGAGCGGGTGGAACTGTTAAACCTAGGGAAGGTGGCTGGAATTTAAAAGACCGTAAATTTGTACGAAGTGGAGATACTCTTCGTTATTGGGTTGTAGTCGCGTTTATTGATCAACGAAGATTAACTCTTAGCAAAGCGAAGCAATTTGTGAAAGAACTTGTCATTACTAGTCGACAACAAGGATTGGTAATTAATATAATATAAATTAATGTTTTATCATGGAAATTATAATTAAATTATCATTTCTCAAAATAAGGATATTGCGGAAGGCAACCCTAGAGTTAATTATATCAGGCCTCACGGTGATGCGCAAACTTACCAACGAATGATTGAGCAAGAGTATGAAAATGCTGAAACTCATTTTCAAAATGATTTGCAGCTTATGCTTTTTATTCTTCCAGATGATGATGAAAAGCGTTACAGAGCCATAAAATATACTACCGATACCATTCTTGGTGTTCCTTCGCAATGTGTTCAACTTGAGAAGGTGCAAAAAAAAAGTAAACAATATTGTGCAAATGTAGCACTCAAAATTAATTTGAAGCTTGGAGGGACGAATCAATCTATTGAGGAAACCGAAATTCCCGAATTATCAAAAGGGCCGGTTATGTTGCTTGGTGCAGATGTTACTCACCCTACCGGTGGACGCGCCGGACCTTCGAGTATACCTTCAATCTGCGCAGTTGTTGGTTCTCTTGACCGTCAAGGTGGACGATTCATCTCCAAGCTTGAAAGTCAAAAAACAAGACAAGAAAAAATCGAAAATATGGGTGGCATGGTTAAAGAAATTTTGAAAGATTACCGTGCAAAGAATAATATTTTACCTCAAGGAATGATCATGTATCGTGATGGTGTATCGGAAAGCCAATTTGAGATGGTTTTGACTCATGAACTTGAAAAAATCAAAGGTAAAGAAGCTTATAACGCATTAATGAACTGATTTCACATGAATCTTTCTTATTATATAACTACTTTTTTTTAAAAAAATAAAAAAAAAAAAAAGAGGCTTGTATTGAACTTGAAAAGAACTATAATCCTCCGATCACCTTTGTGGTTGTAGGCAAACGACATCACACTCGATTTTATCCACAACAAGTCCGTGATGCTGATAGGTAAATTCTAATTAAATTTAGTAAATAATATTTCATTTTATTTATATTTTTTTATATTTAGCAAAGGAAATTGTGTAGCTGGCACTGTTGTAGACAGTAGAATAACGCATCCATATTTATTTGATTTCTGTAAGTAATTTCATTTTATTTGTACAAGAGCCTTCTATCATTATTTTGTAACTCATAAATTTATATAATTTTAGTCTTACAATCACATACAAGTTTACACGGAACTTCTCGTCCAGCCCATTGTATTTATTTTATTTATTTTAACTTAAAATTGTTAAGGTTAAGTATCGCTTCTAACTTAATTTATTTAACTTAAAAGATCATGTCCTTTTTGATGAAAATAAATTCACAGCCGATAAACTGCAAAATTTAACACATAAGCTTTGTTATAATTATCAACGGTATGTTTAGAAGTATCGATTATTTTTTCAATCATTCTTAATTATATATTTATTATTATTTTCACTGCAATTTAGTGCTACCCGTTCAGTTTCCATTGCACCAGCAGCTTGTAAGTATTATTGATGTAAAATTCAGAGAACAACTCTTAAATTACCTTTTTTAAATCACTCACTCTCTCGTAGATTACGCACATTTGGCAGCTAAACGAGCTCGGTAAGTTTTTACAATCTATAAAAGATAATTAAGTATCATAACTTTAAGTAATTGTGTTGATATGTAGATTGCATCTTGAACAACAGCCACGTGGAGAGCCCGAATTTGTATTAAAAGAAGTTAAAGAAAGTTTAGCCAAAGGTAACAAAACTCATTAAATTATTTTATAATTAGAATTTATTGATTCACTTTTATTTCTATTTTTAGACAACACAATGTATTTTATTTAATCATTTTTCTGAGGAATTTTCATCTCCGGAATAACTTCAAAATAAGAATTTCGATGTTTTGAATAATTTTTTTGATTTTGACTAGTTTAATTTTATTAAAATTTTTATTAAAGTTTTAATATATTTTATTATTTTAATATGATATTATCTTTTTTTAAATTTTATAGAATTTTTATTAAAATTTTTAATATAATTTTATACTTCAGTATAAATTAATAAATTATTAATTAAATTGTATTTTAACAGATAAACTGAATTTTAACAAATATAATTATTTTATTTAAATGTTAAATTAACATAATTAATTTTGATATCATCAAAATTAATTAGTATCAAAATATAATAATTTTATTAAATACCTTAAAATTTTAAATTTTATCTAATATTAATAATAAGTAATAATAATTTTAATTAAAATAAATTTTTATTCAGATAAGTTTTTTAAGTTATATATAAATATATTTAAAGTCTATAGTCTTTATTAAATAAGATTTTTAAATAGTATAATATATAAGTTATATAAGATTTTATTAAAA